TAAATCAGCAGCACCCTCTTCACAGCTAGTAATATCCAAGACCTTAATATCATCTGCAAATTTATTGACCATTCCTTCATCTATGTCATTAATGTAAATCAAATAAAGCAAAGGTCCTATGACTGAGCCCTGAGGTACCCAACCCTGCTTTCTTCAGCCCAGCCACTTTTCTATCCAATTTGCTAACTTATCCCCCACACCCATACAGCTATTTTTTTTTTACAAACCTTTTATGTGGCACCTTGTCAAATAGTTTCTCAAAATCCATATACACTAAATTCACACCCTTACCCTCATCTACATAAGCAGCAACCTTTTCAAAGAATGTTAAAAGATTTGTAAGGAAAGATTTTCCTGTAGTGAAACCATGTTGACTATCCAATGAAATTTTAAACTTTGTTTAATGACTTTGTAAAGCATCTTTTATCAGACTTTACAAAACTTTTCCCACAACTGATGTAAGACTAATGGGCCTATAATTACTATGACAATTTTTATCACCTCCCTTGAAAAGAACAGCGACATTAGCTAACTTCAATTCCTCGGGTACCTGTCCACTATTAAAGGACTTACGAAAAATAGTGGCAAGTGGCTCATATATCCAATCCTTAACCTTCTTCAAAACCCTTGGGGAAATATTATCTAGACCAGGAGATTTATCATTCTTTAAACTTTCCCAATATATTGAAGTTCAGAATTAATGCAGTCATCTTGTTTTATCTTGTTTCCATTTATCAATTGTTCAAGATGTGGAATACTGCTTAAATCTTCATTAGTAAAAACTGAAGAAAAAGCAAAATATAATAATGCAGTAATCTCAATCATCAGATTTGGGCTTTCCTTTATCATCCCTCAAGGGTCCTACCCCATCATAACATTTTGTTTACCCTTAATGTATTTAAAGAAATCCTTAATGTTAATTTTTACATTTTCAGATAACCTTTTCTCGTACATCCTTTTTGATGTCCTAATTTCCTGTTTCATCAACTTTCTTGAACTTCCAAATCTCCCATCACACCAGCCTATTTAAACTTATTAAATTTATGATGGTTTTCTTTATCTCTATACTCTTTATGAGCCAACCTGTTTTGTTTTTTACCTGTTTTTACTTGTAGCCACCTTTTTCTTTCTGTAAGGAATCTTGAATATTTGAAAAGTTATTTAAAAACATTTTCCACATCTGATCAGTGTCTCCAAATAACTCAGCTGTCCAATTCACAACAGATAATTCTTGCCACATCCCTTCAAAATTTGCTTTTTTAAAACATGTGACCAAAATATTATTATTCCTTATCTCCATATGGAGCAAAACATTTAACCTAATAGAGCAATGTTCATTTGCACCCAGATGTTCCCCAATTTCCACCTTCTTGATCATTTCTGTATTTGAAGTTAACAATAAATCTAAAATAATGTTTTTAGCAGGTTCCTTGACTAATTGGTAAAGAGAGTCATCTTGAACAGTTTCCTAAAACCTTTCTCCTTCACAATTTGACTCTAGCATTTCCCAATCAATATGCCTGAAATTAAAATCACCCATTATTATGGTTTCATTAACAGCTGAAATCTTAATCTCATTGTAAAGTTTCTCATTAAAAGTCTATTCCCTTTATATCCATAGATAAGGAATACATCAGATAGTTTAATTATTTGTGATTATGATAAAATACACATAAATAGAAGACTTTGAATCCCACCCAAGGTCTCGGGATTTGAGCCACTAAAATCCCCAAACTTTGGATTGCACATATACATTTCTATAAATCATACAGCACTAGGTTTCTAATAAGTCTGTGTCAGTTTCCTTGTGATCTTCAAATACACGTAATGTAGTCAGGCTAACAACACTTTATAATAACAATTACCCAGTATTCATTTTGCCCTTGAAACTATTTCCTACACTGTTAATATTGCTCATGCTGGTTGGCCATGGTTATGCACTATTGTTTGGCACTAAAATTTCCATTACAACAAACTTCTCTATAGAACAACAATACCATAAAAAATACATTTTTTTTCATATTATTATTTCTAAGTTTCATTTACTAGAGATGAGAAGCTACAATTAGTACATTTCTCTTACTACTATATAATAGACAGAAGAATTTGTTACCCTTTGTTTTCCATTAAAGCTGCAAGATGAACAGTCTTCATCCCAGGAGCTGCACATGCATCCAAGACAAAACTCCCAGGTGGAGGGTTCAGTGCTCTGACAGCTAAACTACTACTCTGAAATAGTATTCAGAAAATCATTCTTCTAGGACTATTTCCATAAGTAATTTATTTTGAACTTTTTGTTTAACTGTGAGAATTCAACAATATACATTGTGTATCTTAGAAACAACTAAAACATACAACTTGAATTTCAGTATAATGACATTAAAACAACTATTCAAGTTTCACTAAATGAGTTCAACATTTGTTGAGTATGGTATCTAATAGTTACATTTTTGAAATTTTCAAGTGTGGAAGTATTAGAGAAATGACCAAAAAAGTTAGTGAAATGTTTCATTGGCTTGGATTTGGCATATTCTTTAAAAGAAAACACTGGAAGAGTCCAGAGGTTTGTTAATCCCGAGATTTAAAAATCATATTAGTAGAATTTTTATCACAACTTAAAATACTACCAGCATCAGTATTTACAGGTATAATAATGCAAAGAAATATACAAAATATTTTGATAGTGTGCATTAGGCAGTTTTCTTAGCTTTATACAGTACCTACATTTGAGGAGTTCATAAAATCGGTGCTAACAAAAACTGTCAGACTGAATTTAATAACAAGAATGTGGAAAACATGAAGAATCCTTATAATGTATCTTAACATCCTTTCATGTCAGGTCCAGTCCAAACCAATAAAACAAATAATTGTTAGTTTCTCCAACTCCTCTACAGAGTAGAAATTCAAATGTTCATTTTATCCTTGATCTTGAGTTATAATCACATTTTTAATTATAAAATACAAATTGTTTTGGAATACAACTTCAAAGGACTTTTGAAACTCAAAACAATTTTTATATGACATTCATAGATAGGTTAGTTGCTTTTTTTTTTCTTTCCTTGAAGTTATTCCATACTTCAACATTATGTACAATTTGCAGATATAATTTTGTCGAAAATATTTGCCTTTTTTTTTATAAAACGATGGTAAAATTAAAATCACTTTAAAAAAATAAGTGAGAGTTCTTGTGTGCTTATTGATAAAAAGTTTTAATTTTTAATTCACAAAGCTCTTTTGATTTTTAATTTACAATACCTTTTATTAAAATAACAGATTAAGATGATTCTAAGAGCATGTGAAACATGCCCTCTTGGTGCTGCTGAGCACATAACATGGATGAAAAAAACAGACATTCAAACAATCTGATAAAAAAAACATATCTTCACCTCCTAGAACAAAATCAACAACACACACACACACATATATGAATGTTTAAAAACTGTATGTTGTGATGGTATGCCTTCTCTTCCAGATGTGATGCAAGAAATTTAATAATAAAATTTATCAACTATACTTTCTTGATTGCCATAAGGAAAATTTGTTTCAACTCAGTTGATTTCTGCATTAACCAATAGTCTTAATAGGATTTTTACTTATTTATCCATCAGTTTTATTAGTTAGCCTTAAACTACCATATAATCCTCAGAGTAAAACAAAGAGCTATGGTAGATTAAAATACACAATCTGGACCAGGGTATCATATGTCAGTTATATATGGGCCACTGCTTAGAAAAACATTTTTAAATTCATAATGCACATCAGTAATTGTTCTAGATATAATTCTGCTTGTTGAACATTGGTTTTGATACTTTTTTGTTTTAACAAACAAAATCGACATTTAGATCTGAATATTATGTGTATGTGAATACATATGAGTGGCAGCTGGTGCATTTTTCACAGAGGCTACATTTTCAACCAACTAAAATCAATGTAAATCATATCATTGAATTTCTTGTCTTTGCAGACTCCATTTCACACAATATGTAACTTTTCTAACCTGTTGGCATGGCAATGGGCTATTCTGACATGCTCAGTGTTCTTTGAATACAATTACTGCTTCCTTTTGAAGAAGTATAAAGTGAGATTGAAGTTTCAGTAGCCATTAATTAAAGCTATTTTACAAATTTCATCAGTGGCTGGATATCAGTTTTCACTCACAGAACTTTTAGTAGCTATTCATTAAAGCTACTTCACAAATGTCATCAGTGGCTGGATATCAGTTTTCACTCACAGAACTTTTAGTAGCTATTAATTAAAGCTACTTCACAAATGTCATCAGTGGCTGGATATCAGTTTTCATTCACAGAAACTGATTTATCAAACAAAATTTAATACCCATATTCAGCCATTTCGATATTAATAAACAAGCCCACAACCAGCATACAAATAGTTATTTTCAAAACTTTGATTGTCATACATGGTTTTAGCAATATTTAGCCAACTTGTATATTATGTGTATAATACCTGTGAAAAGTACAGGTTTGAATAGTGGAATGTGCGAGACAGAAATGTGTTGCACTTTACCAGTCATTCTTCGAAGCAAAAGGACTATGGTATTTGTAGCAGGTTTTCTGTGTATCTTAGTATTTAGAAAGCACAAGTCTCCAGATTCAACCGATTGATCAATAGTAAATTCAGTGGGCTAAAGAGAAAGCAAAGTTGACTCAAATGTTTAAGAAGATATTCCAAGGCTCAACCAATGTCATCACTAAAATGATAGCATATCTGTTGTTGTCTTCTACCAGGCTGTAGCCAAAACCATTTGGCTTAACATTCCAATTTACCCATAAAGATCTTTGCAAGTAGAGTGTATATCATGTTCCCCATAGCTACACCACTGACTTATTAACGTAAATAATCTCCAAAATGGAGACTATTTTTTTCAGAATGATCTGTAGATGACTTTCCACGATATAAAAATGAAAAAGAAGTTTTAACACTTTACAATTTCATTACTGTCAATTGCACAGATTCAAGTCGAACCACCTGGCCACACCAGGCTAGAAATCTGTAGTTTTATACATGTTTGTTGGTTATTTCTAGCTCAAATGCACTGAAAATAATGAATTTTTGAAGTCGATGGTGGCACAACCTTATTGCACTATTTGTTTTTCAAGTACAATAACAGAGGAGAGAGAAAGCCTATACTGTTTATTCCCTAAAAGTAATTTAGATATTTAGAAAATTAGTGTACTAGCTGCCTTCAATAGAAAGAAGTAGATATCGTTACCTACTAAGTATTATTATTTCAGGGATTATGTGTACATTTCCCACGACCCAAAAGATCAGCTGTTGTCAGGGTCAATATAATTTTTTATTGACATAGTTATAAACTGTATGTACTGTTGGACAAAGTGGAAATGATGAATACAAATGATTTTGATGTTATGAATTTATTGAGGTCTTTGCTCTAAGTGTGGTTGTATCATACATACTGAGGGTTTTGATTTTGAGTATGCAAGCTGACAAGCCACATGACAGTCACAGTAAATACAAAGTCACAGTGGAATGGCATGTACTAGATCTATATTTTGATACTGTTTAGTGTTTCATAAGCAGTGTAATGCCACAAACTGATTGCTTTGAGTGCATTCAGGTCAGGGATGTAAAATTTACAAAACAGGGATATCTCTTGTACTTAACGAGATTGAAAAACAAAGGAATATGAATCAACTTGGGAAACTAATGCCATCCAGAAAAAGATGTGCAAAAAGTCATACTCCAGCCATGGTAAGAAAAGTGTGATGTCTTTTACCAGTTGGGAAACCAAAAATACAATGATCAGTTTCAAAATCCACCCATGTGTCCCAGGCAACATTATACAACATAGTGAAGAAGGTAAAGTGATTTAAGTCAGGTGCACACAAGTTTTACTCCCATGACATATACATGAAAATGTTGAATATCTCAAGCAGCTGGAAAACAAAATCAGTATTGGTGTTATTCCATACAAACACATACTTATCAAGCATCCACATACAAAGCTTATAGATTTCCATGTGATTAAACTGTTGAAATGGATGTTGGTAAATTGTTGTTCCCATACACTAGATGGTTAAAGGAAAGCAGACAAGGAGCATAAGTGTTATGAAGAAAATACACAGTGAAAATGTAAGGATGGCAATAACTTGACATATCTATAGAAATGATTAAAAATCTAGCAAGAAATAGATGTAATGATGGTCATTTGCTGTGAACAATTTTCATTACGATAAAGTAATTAACCCTTTCCAGATGGGTCACGGGTGAAGGGCCAATGTATAATAATTGAAATGTGACTGTATTTTATGAAATACTAGTCTACTAAAACACAGCCAGGAAAGATCACTTTGTAAAGACTAAATGTCAGTTTTATATTATTGGATACGGTAACATCAGGGCACTTGTCACACATCATTGTAACTTCTGTAATGTTAGCCAGGCTGAAAGGTCAATATAATAAAAATAATATATATATGTCAATGTATGATGTTATGAAATTTTAGCTATTCAGTCTACACATTTATGTTTTCTTGTTTTAATTTGTTGTCATTCTAGAATGAAAGAGACATAATTTATATGTATTTCTTAATTTTTTTATGGTATTTACGAGATCGGTCAAATCTACCAAACCTGTACATAGAATCGTTACTGAAAAAAACAGTTTTTTCTTAAGAAGCTTTTGATAATTATCTGGACGTTATAAAGATTTTGCATGT